GGTAAGCCAGTGACTCGTCTGGCATCTTGTGTAATGTCACTAATGGATTTTTTCTTCTGGTTAGTTTTCTGTTTAAACTAGAACATGCTTTTTGGAAAATAATTTAGTGTTGACCTGAAAACAACTTACTGTGTTGTTTATCTCTGAATGTCTTGCTCCAGTCCCTTCACTGAATAAACTTGGGTCTTCAGCCTTTTACCTGCATGGTCGTTTACAGACTGAGCAAGATACTCTAAATTTTTCTGAAAGCTTAATAAATAGGGCTTTGGTGTGGGGTTTTTTTCCCCATTGTAAGGTATATCTGTCATGTTCTATCAATTTTTGAACACCTGATTTATCAGCTTTCTTGCCTTTCAGACAACAGAACAGGACACAGTATCTCTGCAATGATAGAAACCACTCTATATTTACTCTGTGTTTCCTTATTTCTGTATTTGGTGTTTTCTGTTAGCTCTTCTAGTAAATGTTGTATCGTATGTTCCTTTTCAGCTGATTCATGTCATAAATCTCAGGTTGGTTTTGGGACTGTGTTTTTCCAGAATAGGCTTGTGTGTGTTGTATATCACCTGTGTTTTCTGCTTGGGAGTCTTTTGATTGTATGCTTGGCCTTATTAAATGTAACCTGCTCTACTGGACCAAGTAATTGAATAATTCATAATGATATTATTGATGATGTGTCATTTCCATTATTTACCATATCCGTGTTTGTCATCCTCAGGTTTTAGAAGTTAAAGTGGGCCAATGTTACAGATTCTATAAAAGCGGATGATAGCTTCTTACCTTTTACTCTGTTTTGAGAATATTTTGCCTTCTGAGATGGGTTGTTGTAGATTCTTTAGAAGAGAAGGTTAAAAGAAAAAATAGATTGTGATGTTTTGGAACTTTTCGTGTGGTTCTGAATGATTTTGTCCTTTTTAGCATTCTACTTAATTGAAATGTCCTGCAGAAGTTAAAATTTATTTTACTGCTTGCTTGAGCAATGAAATTCTACTCTTACAAAAGTATATTTGGATCGAATGTCTTCCGTAAATCCATGTTGGCTGGCCTTAATTATGTCGGTGTCCTTTAATCAGTGTTGTCTGCTTTAGCCAATGATTAATATCAAACAGCCTGGTAGTGCAGCCACCTGAGTCATCCTGTTTACTACTGTACTTAAAGGGTAGCTTGCATACAGTTCTGGATCTTCTTTAATATTGCAAGAGTTAGAGCAAATCAGCATTAATTGTTCAGTCAACATGTTAATTGTTTTTTAAGCCACAGTTACTGGCACTGAAATTAGCTAGCTTTAGTAGCTGCCTCTGGAATGTTTTCTTGCTTGTGGAAGGTGAAGTTTTATCCTCTTGATGGAATGTTGCTGGTGCATGGTGGAGCACTGCTGTTAAATTCCTGTTTCCAGTTTACTTAGAGAACCCAATTCATTGCACTTAAATCTCCTTGTGTTCGATTTCCATTGTGTTCTTGGGTTCTCAAAATTTTCAGCCACTTTCTAGATTGAAACGGCTATTTCAAACCTACAGTAGCAACAGAACTACCTTGAAAGGAAAGGATACTTTTTCTTCCTAAACATCTCTGATCAAACACAGTTTCAAAATAAAATAGCTGTGTATAGGAAGGATCAGTGGTATATATTTTTTTCCAAGGTTTAGGTTTCCAAAGTTGTTGAAAAACAGAAGTGAGCAGCAGCCTCAAAGCTATAAATTGCAATGACAGTCCAAATCTTTTTTTTTTTTTTTGGTGTAGGAAAGATTAGATGGGCAGACCTGACTGCAGTCATTGCCTAGACTCACCTTGGGATGCTAAGAATCAGTTTTATCTCTAGCCAAAACAGCAAAACATCTTGGCGAGACAGATTGCCATGTGGTACAAGCTGACAGAATTCTGTAATGGAAATGTAGGATTTTAACGTTGTCTGAAAATCTTAACTCCGGTGCCTGTGAGTAAGGGACAAACCTTAAAATGGCAGTGTCATGTAAATCATGAGGTTGAGCAAAGTCTGGAAAACATGGCAGTTTAGATCTTTCAAAGTCTCTGAAAAACAGCTTTTTGCCTAAGTATTTATTAGATAGGTATACATTTTAAAAAACCAGAGTTTGTGGCTGAAATATGCCATGGTGGTTATAGACTTTCCTTAGATTTTTTTTTTGACTGAAACATCTTATGCTTTTTAACACACAAATCTAGCTGGTAGAATCAAGTTCTGACTTGTCTGAAGCAGATGTTTCTGAGAGCTTTAGTAGATTTGTCAGGTACTAAATAGCTTGAAAAATAATTAAAAAACCCATGAACTTGGTAAAAACCCCCAAAACTATAGTACCTAAAGCAAACCAATGAAATGAGTTGTGTTGCTGATAGCAACTTTTGTATCTGTAATATTACCTGTTAATTGTGAGTGAAAGCCACTTAAAGGCTTAATATTATTGGCTTACATTTTGTGTCTGCTCAGAGGATGGACTTCTGACTTCCAAAGTACTAAGCTATGGACAAAATAAAAAGGATTTTTTTTTCCCCTTGTCAGTGCATGGGTTGATGGTGGAGTTGATGTGATTTCTTCTCTTTTCAGTCCTGCATGCTGATAGCGGGTTGGTGGTTGCGGTACCACCCCAGGAAAATGGGGTCCCAGTTCCAGTTTGTGAAGCAATTCCATTTTTCCCCAACTATGCAGGAAAACTACAACTGTTTGTAGGGTTGCACTTGACACCTTGATCAAGGATTGACCTGATTTGAAGAAAACCTTGGAGAAAAAGTTCCCCATTGAAGGAGTGATGGGAAGTCCTCAGATAGCATTCTTGCACAAGCAGTGGTGCTAACTGGATGTTACCAAAATATAGACTCAGTTTCTTGCTTCAACGTGAGGCTGTCCCTCTGTATTCTTTGCCCAGATAAAATCTGTGACGGTGCAGATTCCTCAGTCAATAGGCATTAATTTGTAGAAAATCTTGATCTGCAGAACTCTAGCAGTTCAGAAGGGGGCTTTTCTGTCATCACATTATATCAAGGAGGAAATGTGTTAGGTATGTATTATTTTTGTGGCTTACCATCCTTGATTAATAAGGAGGCAGCATAGATAAAAAAGACCAAAATTAACATTTTAATTATTAATATTGAAGTGTAGAACCTAAGAAAGTTATCTAAAGATCTAATAAATTCATGACTTTTCCTTGGCCAAAATAGTTAAATTTATGACTGGATCATTCATTCCCTTTTAATTCCTCACCTTTTGTCTTGCTCCACCCTGACTCTTTGCTCTCATGATGCGAGCGCCGCGTAGTCCACCCCAACTTGCCTTTCCAGTTAGTACAGCTTCTCCTTTGGTTGCCGACCGTGTGCGTTGTGCAGTCCCTGTCAGAGGTTCCTCTCCAGTTTGGCTTCTGTGCTCTCGCCTTTTGGCTGCGGCTTTGTGAACCGGCAGGAGCAGCGCATGGTTTCTGCTTTCTCTATTTTGTCTGCTCTTGCATGGCTAAGTGTATTCCTCTGGTGCGCTTGCTGTCTTAGCTTTCTTGAGTCTCTTTTTCCTGTTCCTCTTCCCCACTCTTCCCAAATCATTACCTGTTTCCAGAGTGCCTCCTTTCCAAGGGTCTTCTCTCAGCTTTGCCTGTGATTTTTTTCATGTATGTTTTATTTCTGAGTAATGTTGCCTATTAGAGTAAATTCACCTGTTATACCTACTCGAATCATCTGTGGATCTGTTTTATTGTTCTGGTTTTGTTTCCTGTTCAGCTACAACTTCATCCACTTACAGGTGTCTCACTTTCAATTCAAAAGTCATACAGTCAGAACTTCTAGGGAGGAAGTAAGTTACTCAACTAACTTACACAGAAGAGGAAGTCGGCAAAGTGTTCCCAAAACAAAGTGTGGTGGCCAAAATGAGGGACAAGGAAAGCTATTTTGCAGCTCAATGGGATGAGAGTAGTAGGCTTTGAGTATGCTTGTAGTAGGTACTACAGTGCGTGGAAGTCTAGTAGAGAAAGATGACACAGGATTCTCAGTTTTTGGGAGGGAAACCTAGGGGCTGACAAGGGTGGGGCCTAGTGGGTCCAAAACTGGTAAACTGGTTGATCCTGACTGGGTTTTGGTGCTTCATCCTTGTATCGGATGCTTTTCAGCTGTGTTCTCATTGCAGTTTAACATTCAGTGCCAGCCTTTTTGGTATTACTGATATTAAGCTAGCTTTGATGTTAAGAGCTAAAGATCCCAGGTTCCCTGGTGATCCACATGGGTTGATGTGAAAGCTCTCCCCCCCACACCCCCCCAGCAGAAGGATTGCAGCCATCCAATTAAGGCTACTGCGTTAGAGGCTTGTCTCTGCCAAAGTGTGCGTGATGGTTTGCTTGAATTGCCCCACAATATTTTCACATGTGGCTGCTGTATATTGTCTTTAGGTACCTAGCCTTGTATTTTGATGTGCAGAATGATGAACGGATAGACAGTGAATGTTTTAGTGAGCTGTTGGCTGCTTCAAAAGGCAACCCAAATCAGATCAAAATCATCTAAAACTAGACCTGTGAGAATAGCTGGTTGTTTTTGTGTTAGCTTCTGGTGCATGTAGTGGGGATAAACCCATCTCATTATATAGGGTTATTATGAGAATAAAAATACTATGATTTGTATATAAATTATATTGTATATGGGAAAAAGTTAATATGACATGTAGTAAAAATACATTATCCACATGTTGGTTGGTGGGTTTAGGCTGCAGGGGGTTTTACAACTGTTTGTAATCTTATGCCCAAAAGATTTGGGTAAAATCTGCTCACGCAGTTCTAGCATGTTTTTTTTGCATTTTCTAGCATTCAGGCTGTTGATTTTTTTTTTACTTTAATATCACTACTTCAGTAGCACATATATTTGAAAAAATGTTTCCTTTGTTTGGTTTTGTCTTTTTCTTTTCCTCAGTAACTGAGGCCCTTTCCACTTCTATCTCCCCACGTTTTGTTTTTCTTTTCTGTCACATTTTCATGCAAAGTATAGACCAACTTGTGAAGGTCCTTATTTAGTCCTTGGGTCTATTAAGGAACAGGGCTGATACAGCAAAGCTCCCTCCCTCCGATCTGTCTTTATGGGTTCTTCAAGTCTCTAATCAACCAGTTTCTTTAGGTAATGCTTCATAACCTTTTTTGTTTGGGCTTTGGCTACGATGTGTTTGATTTTCTTAAAAAACCAAACCCTCTTCCTCTACAGATTTGGATTTTGGTGTTGCTGGAAGGGAAGAGGAGCTGTATTTTCTTACTTCAAAAGATGCTTCTCCACAACTGCCTGGGCTGGACTTGACTCTGATAGAGAAAACTTCATAGCCTTCCCTTAGTCTTATTCTTGCTCTCCAGCATGGCTTCGTCCGCTGTTGTCCATGCGTTCTTGATACATAGGAACTTGACCTGACCTTCACTAGGGTCTGCAGGACCTTGGTTAATAGGAATGAACGTAGTTGAATCTTAAGATGTGCATTTTTTTGCTTAATAAAACCAAGGATGAGAGAAATAGTGTCATCTGCCTGCAGATTTAGGAGGCTGTCACAGCATTGGATGTACTCGATCTTTAGAAGGCTTATTTTTCAAGAATGAGCAGTGGAAATTTCTTGAATACTCTGCCATTCTACTGGCAAATCTTTCTTGCTGTAATTCTAGTGGTTTTCTTATCCTCTTGTAAATGTCAGGAAGCTGCAATTCTGTTAATTAAGCATTACTGTTCTTACAGAAGAGGATTATGCATCAAATTGTCCATGTTTGGTTGTCTTGTGGTAATCACTGATTTGAAGAGGGACTGTTAGTACAAATTGTTTCTTTGGACATCATGATCCAGTGTCCTGTTTGAGCTCTTCAAAGAGGAATTTAGGGAAGAGATCTTGACGCAGTTACTCCTATATTAGTAAATTAATCTTTGTTGGAGAGCTGAGATGGATTCCTTAAAAAATAGAAAATAATTGCATGTAGTCAGGTTTTTTCGCTCCTTTGCGTGACCAGGTGTGCTTTTGTATTGTGAAGAAATTTAGGAAGGACTGTATTAATCCAGTTGTTTTCATAGTAAACATTTTTATTTTTCAGGTTCAAGCTTTTTAAAAAAGAGGAATAGAACAGGAAAAAATGGCAGCAGAAACTCAGACACTTAACTTTGGGCCTGAATGGTGAGTTTGTTTCTGTTTTGTGAGACTCCAGAATGTTGTCTAAAATTTTAAAAAACCATTATGAATTTCTGTCCTTTGGGGCTGAATTGTTTATAAAACTGAATGGGATAAATGTTCCATACTGCTTGACCTCAGTCCCTGGCCTGTGACTGTATTATAAAAATAGTCTTCACTTTGTAAATTGGCATTGTGTATGAAATGAGTTGGGTTTCATGTTACGGTAATGCATAATGTTCAAATTACTACCAAGTATCTGAGGGAGGAATAATGTTTATGATCTTGGATGTATACACAAAGTAAGTGAAGACAACTTGTTTGGTCTTTCCGTGTGATACATATTAATAAGAAAGTTTTTAAACTCTCCTACTGGACTTAAACCTATAGCTAAGCAAGCTTTTTTTCCCCAATATTAAAAAAAAAAATCTTTATGGAATATTGTAAAAGCGTGCTTTTCATGTTGTAGCTTCTTGTGTGTCTGCACTGAGAAGTGTCAGGAAGAATGAGCTGTTGTGTTAAAGGGGTTCCCTGGTGGTGTATCACCTTGTGTCAGCTGTCAGACTTCCAGCTTGTCTTACATACGTTGTCCTGGCTTTTGCTAAAAGAGTAATTGCACAGGTGTGATTATTGTTCAGTATTTGTTCCAATTTCTTGTTAAAGTGTTGGTGACCTGCAATTACAAACAAGAATTCTGGATGGTCTGGTTTCTGAAGAGTGATGTGATCCTTAAGTGTGTAAATGGGAGTGTGGGGTGGTTATAGGAGCTATAATTGCTACATAGCATGTGGTAAGACTGTTACTGGAATAATGTATTTGTTTTTGCTGACACATTTTTATACACAATGTACAAAAGTTGGAGAGTATTCAGTAAAGTAGTCAGATGTGATTTATGGCCTGGAAAACAATGAGAGCGCTCAGTCTATTTTGTTAAAATCAAAGAAAGTTAAAGAATGACTTTATCACTATCTGTAAGTACACCCACCAGGCAGATATCTTATGCTGGAGTGCTCTTCGGTGTGAGACAGAGATGATTAGATTCATTGATGGATGGAAGCCGAAGTTCTATTAAAAAAAAGAGAACGGGGAAGGCAACTCTAAAAAAAGCATGTATTTTAACAGTAAGTTGATTGCTGTGTCATAGTGAGGGGACTTCAGTCTCAGTTTGAAAAGCAGATGAGACTGTATGGAAGAATATATTATACTTCAGTGAGTTAGTTACTAGATTTTTACAAGAGTAACAGAATAAAATTCTAAGATGTATGATTATTTTTGGGGGTTGCAGTGTAGTCGTGTCTGTCATGCATGGTGTTGTATCACTAAATAGTGAAACTCTCGGTCACGTTTGGTCTGGATTGGAGTTGAGCGTTGTAGTGAGCCACCTAACCCTTGGAGTAACGCCTCCCCAGGGAGGGGCTTCGTTTGGAAGTGGTGTGTAAGGAACCTGCCACTGGGTGGCGCCAAACTAAAAAAAAACCATATGACTTGCAAGTCACTTTTTCCTTTCTGTTTAAAGACCGATAAAACAAATCAAAGTGTGCTTCAATAATTAGGTGAAAGGCAGCCTCTGAATCAGTGTTTTAGTTTAGGGCACCTTCCTTTCCAAGGATTTTGTGATTGTTGAGAAGAGTTTTCATTGTTTTCCTTGTCTAAGATACACATCAAGGAGAATGGAGGAAAATGGTCTGGGTTTTGTTTCTTGGCACACATCCTTTTGTAAAGCATTCCTCAAACTTAAAAATACAGGATATTTGAGTAGCTGAGGAAGTGACTGTATGGAATGAGACTAATCCACCTGTGGAGTGGGAATAATATCATACAACTGTAAGATCTTATCTGCAAAAAGTCGAGTAGCTTACCTGTGTGGGATGGGACCAAACTTAATAACGTATTTGTCTGTTACTGTAAGTTAGATTACTGCTTGAAATGCCACTGAAGTAAAGTGTGGCTATATTTTGTACATCTGTTTTTATTGAGACACTAAGCTAAGAGATGTATGTGCTCTCTGAAAAAATGCTGTTAATTTTAAGTTCTGGAAAAGGAATTTGGAGTAGGGTAGGATTCCAGAGACACAAGAAGAAACCTCATTGCAAAATATGCTGTCCTATACTGTTTGTTAAACTTTGTGAAACATCCGAATAAACTTTTTTCCTTAGATTAATGTTTACTACACTGTCCCTAGTGTGCTAAGATATTTTTTTCTTGCCAAAAAGAAGCTGCTGTTAGTAATATTGATGGAAGATTTACAACTGAATTCTGTGCAACCAGTGTAAAAACTTAGTCAAGGCTCGAGAGGTATAGCTAGCTTGCTATATAGTCAACATAAGAGTTCTCCAGGGGGTGAGTTGAATTCCTTGATGTGCTTGTGGGAATATTTTTTTTCCTCTCTCCAACCTATGGGAAAAATGACAGAAGCTCTTTCACTGTTCTTGTTGAAACACCAAGTTTTAGAGTTTTGAAGTTAGACTGTTAATGTCTCGTCTTTCAGTACTGGGTTTATTGCATTTGTGTAAAGTCTGTAAATGTGTGGAGGGATGATAGCATAGGTGAAGACACATTCGTCTCGATTCAGTTTTCATTGCTTTTCTGCTTTATTTTAGGCTGCGAGCTTTGTCTAGTGGCGGGAGCGTGACATCCCCTCCTCTGTCTCCGGCTTTGCCAAAGTACAAACTAGCAGACTATCGCTATGGGAGAGAAGAAATGTTGGCACTTTTTCTAAAGGATAATAAGGTGAGCAGGAAGACAAAGAAGGCCTGATATGTGTATTCCTAATGACAATCTTGTGATTAGGAACAGTTATTTGTATATTGTGATTATGGACAAAGAAATTGCATATCCCTTGGCAAAGAACTGAAGAGGTTCGATGGTGGGTTTTTTGTGTGTGCTTATTTGATCTCACTCTTACTGCATTCATTGTGTTTGAATCTTTTTGCCGCTTTAGGGGCAACTTCCTGTTACACACACACCCCTACACACCCCCAACCAAAAAAACCTAATTACCATATTCAGTCCCACTGCCACAGGTGACTGAGGGTTAAACTCTCCTTGCAGCTAGGCAGATTTGCTTACCTCAGTAGGATTTTGTTTAATATAGTGTAAAATAGTTATTTGATTCAGCTTGAAAGTCAGGCAATAAAACATGTTAACAGATCATCTGAAAATGTTTATCCTGACGTAAGGCAGTTCACTTTTGCAGGTAACCAACCCAATGAGGGTCACCACGTAGTTCAGTTCTGGGACTCAGGGCACAAATACAGTCCAGCACATGAAATACAAAAGAGCAGTGTAGAAAGTCAAGAGCTTGTCTCTGGTTTAATTTCAAACAAAGGTACTCAGTGATACAACAGTCGCATTTCAGAGAGTGTGTGAGGCAAACGGTTCATATGTTCTGCATTTGTAAACATTAGGTTTTTCTGTAGATGGTGACAGAGGATGATTTATTGTTGCAGCAGGCACATAGTGACTTGGAACTCTGAATCCCTCCGAGAGCCCTACCCTTCAGTCAAGGAGGGACTGCAAGAAATTATGTTGGGTTATGTCTTTAGCTTAGTATATAGATGTGCACACATACCTCCATCTTCTTACCTTACCATGACTGTGTTGATATTTTCGTACAGTGCTTGGGAGCCCTGAGTTGCTTGTACATGGATTCAAGGGCATTGAATGTCAAAGATTTTTCTAAAGCTGTTAAGTGTGTTATAGCCTAAAGCCATGCTTTAACATGCGGTATTATGCTGCTGTACTTTGAGAAGCTGCGATTTAAACCTTGATATTATGCTTGAATAAGTCAACCTGTCAGAGGTCATTTTTTTTGCGATTTGTGTATGTTCCATCAGATGATGCTAAGACCTCTACAGTTGCAACTCATTCAGAACAACCTATTAATAAATACCCTGTGTTACAGGAAGCTCTCCAGTGGTTATGAATGGTCCAAAAGAGTATTTTCTCCCTGTGTTGTTTGCCAGAAGGGCATTATTATTAGAGCATGTCTTGCTTTTCATATACCTGTGTTCCCATGGTATTGAGTAATTCTTGTGACTGAGACTGAGAGGACTCTTGACACTTTATAGTCAGCTACTAGATGTGATGTTTTTAAGCTGTATCTTGTACCCTAGTCCTCTTTCACTGTGTCATCTTCAATCTTTGCTGGCTGAAGATTAGACAAAGTTGCATCTCTGATTAAAAGATACTCTGATTGAAAGCAGGAAGACTTCTGCTAGTGTGTACCCAAATGAAAAAATAAAACCCTAGGTTGCTTTGCTTCATTTAAAATTGGGAGAAGTCTTTATCTCTAGTATTGTGAACTAGACATTTTTGAAACAGTTCTTTGTTGGCATAATTAGAGCTCAGTTGGCTGGAATTGTAGCTTCTTGTCCACATGCTCAAGGTCACGTCTGCTCATGGAGCTTCCATCTGATGATAGACTGATTAAAAGTTAGTGTTAAAATTTATTTTGATTTCTATCATCAGTATTCTCTACTTAATAAATTCATACCTATGGTTTCGCTTTTTTTGTTTTACTCTTCTTGTTGGTTGAAAATTGGAAGTGCTGACTTTAAATCAAATACAACCTCTGTGCTGTATATGGTAGTTTTGTTAATACGTAAATAAAAGTTTGGCTGTAGAAGTGCATTGAAGTTAAAGCAGTACTTTTTTAATTTATCAGGTGAAGTTTCCCTTGGTTCAGATTTGAGCTGCAGTGGTGTGGAAGTTTGAATTCTGATGTGTATGATCTTGATAGTTTATATATTACAGTTGTGGGTGGTGGATGCTTTGGATGTTTGTCTATAAGAATTTTTTTTTCTGGGGGGCGTAAATTTGCAGTGGAGTTACACCACCCCCAGTAAATGTTACTGGAAGTACTGGTGTACTGGGTAGATGGAGACAGCGTTGGCAAGATAAAATTTTTCTTGTAAATCAAAGCATGTGGCATCATCCCTGAAATGGAAAAACTTGGGTATATTTGTACCCTATTTTCTTTTCATGCAGATTCCTTCAGACCTTCTGGATAAGGAGTTTCTGCCTATTTTACAAGAGGAGCCCCTGCCACCACTGGCACTTGTACCTTTTACAGAAGAAGAACAGGTTTGTATCCTTTAAAAAAAAAAAAAAAAATCTTTTCATTGTGCTTCGTGTAAATGCAAAAAAAAAGCGCACGCCCCAATTAAAAAATATAAAATTTGAGATTAGTAAATTTCAGGGAAAGAAATTATGAAAGCATACTGTGTTAGCATAAAGTTCAAATTCCATTCATGCTCAATTATTATCTTAAAGTTGAACAGATATTTTTCATATAATGTTCTGTTGATGGCAGACAGTCAACTTACTAAATCCAGGATCAGCTTCTGGGAAGTATTACCTATTTTTTAAATACGCAGCATTTTCATATCAGTGAAAGTTTTTCTACAGTTGTTGGACCACCTTCTCTGTTGTAATTGAAGTGTCCAAGTTCTGTAACTTCAATTTTGTGGCTTTTGGAGAAGCGTTGAAGTTTTTTTGACTGTTAACATTTTTTAGGAAGGTGCAGTACTCTTAACTACTTTGTATGTAGGCAGTTGCTTGATTATTTCCTTGTTTGGTTTCTACAGGTATGTAATTAATTGGTGAACAAGAGAAAAGTGAGAACAGGTAGTCCACAAAGATTCCATTTCAAGGGTGACTGACCTGAGTAGTTTGAAAGCCCTTGCTTTAAATTCAATTCCTACCAGAGAAAACTGTCTGCCCCCCTCTGGATAAATGCCTTTGACATTTAACTCTGAATTTATTCCCTCTCTATGGCTGTCAGAGCTCTTGATTTTACAGCTGTTCTCTGGTTTGTCATGTTTCTTGGCGCTTTTCTTACTTCAGAATACTGTGGCTTGATTTTTTTGTTTGTTTGTTTCTTTTCTAATAGAAAGCTGAGTATTTTTACTGACCTGAGTGTAACTTAATTTTTGCAGTGGTGGGGACTGTTAATATTAGTTTCTTAAGATTTCAGAGCATCCTCCTTCCTTTGCCCCATGCTATTGTATTTCTGAATTTTTCATCTTTTTGTGCCTAGGTATTCTGGCATATCCTCTTCACCTCCTCTGGAATTCCTTTCTCTTCAGGGTTGATTCATATTTCTTGTGTCTTTTTAGGATGCTGTCCTTTGACATAAGATGCTAATAGTTTAGCTTTTAATCAGCAGTCATATTTATGTTCACGTGGACACACTGTAGGCACTTCATGTCATAGTTAGTCTTAGAAGGCAGCTGAGATGTGAGAGTATGTTTTTATGGGAAATCTTGGCCCAGTTCCTATTCTCCAGTGGGAACAGGAGGGATTCAGGCAGCAAGCCCAGGAAATGGTCGGCCAGATGTACAGTAGCACACCAAAATATTGAACCTTGGTGTTGAATACCTTTGGACATATTTTTTTTTTGCTGATGCATAGTGGAGTCCTTCAGAGAGTAAACTACAAGCTTTTTACAGTTAAAGGGGATGTTGACTTCTGGTGATTGTCAAGATGCTCTCCAGGAGGAATAATACGAGTTGAAGGCTATGGTATTGAAGATGTGCTGAGTAGCCTCTTGGTACAGATGAGATGGTAAGTGCTGCTGAGCTTCAGGGATAGGTGGTTCTCCGCTGCACTGCCCAGCATTTCATCAGTCTTGAAAAGTTCTGAGGAGTTGGTGTGCACAGTGTCACTGTTTTTTCTGGCTCCTTTTCACCTGTAATCATACAGGAGTCTTCGTCAGCTGAAGTCCACAAAAATCTTAATCTGAAAGAAGAGGTCCATATTCCTCTTCTAAGGAAGTCTTCCCTTTAATGCTTTCTGGAGACACAGAGGATGTTAGCTGTCTGGTTTTTCTTGTCTGAAGATCTCCCCGGCATCTGTCCCCCCCCTCCCCTTCATGACTGATTTGAGCTACTGCATTGAGTTTGCATGGCCAAGTTTTGGTAGCGAGGGGGCTACAGGGGGGACTTCCGTGAGAAGCTGCCAGAAGTTTCCCCTGTATCTGAAGCCAATGTCAGCCGGCTCCAA